TAGGAACTGCCCAGAATGGAGTTTGAGCCTCCGTGACACAAACAGTGCTGAGGGGCACCGTTGGCATGGAATGGCAGTGCTGCCAGGACGTCGACATCCCTCAAACAGGGCGCATGGGGCTGCTCCGCCTGCCAGGGGCACCCATGCCGCGCTCGGGCTGCGGCACCGATGCCATGCTGGGGTTGTGGCACTGATCAGAACACATAGGACGTCAGGTGAAAAGCATTTCCATGAAATCAACTGAGAACAGCATCAGGGCTTCTGGGAAAGCCCTTCTCTCTTACTGATTTGCTATAATTTTTTAATGCAGGTTTTGAGCTTTCTTTGGAGTCTAATTAAGGCCCTGATCAGTTTAAATGATTAAAACTTTCCCAACATCAGTGTATCAAACACGCAGAAGCAACGGTTCTGCTCGTGTCAAAGCAAGCCTGGCTCACCTTTGCTCGTGTGAGGTCACCATGCAGCATAAAAAGGAAAAATCACATTCGTCATCAGCACTTCACAGTGAAATTTAAGTTGTCAGTTCCTCCCGGGAAATCCTGATGCAGGACCCAAACCATCCCCATGAACTGGAGCTTGGTGAAAGTTTAATTACTGCTAGGAACACACAGACACTGCTGCGTGGGGCTGCGAGAAGCCATCCGAGCTGCACGCTAAGCTTCTCTGTCCCAGAAGCGGTTTCTTCAATAGCATTTTCTTATCAAAAGTAATTAGAGGTAGGAATGCTGGAACTGCGATTATGAAACAAATGGTAAATCTATTTGCTCAGACGAAATGTATTGAAAGATACATCTAGACACAGCTGGAGACTGAGGTGATACTGCAAGGATAACAACTCGAGATCCAATTTCATCTTTCATGATTAAAAAATGAGCAAGAAAGTGTTTTATGAAATGTGAAGGTTAACAAATGTTCTTTCACAAGTAATGACGACAGTTTATCTTTTGAAACAAATGGCCAGGCTAAGGTCTGCTAGCAGCTCCTGAAATACATTTGAAAGATTTCTTCTAAAAACCCCCTGAGGACCAGCACACGCAGCCAGCAGCCCACCGTGCTCCTGTCCCAGCGCTCTGCCCCACGACGACGGCCAAGGTCCAGAGCAGAGCTGCTTCCCACCAACCGCCGTGGAAGAGGGGCTCTCGGCTCCACAACACCTGCCCGGAGGAGGGGGGGACAAGCAGGGGCACAGACCTGCAAGTTAACAGCCTCCTCTGCTGCATTTCTGAGCTGCCCAGACTATCCAGGAGCCCTGCACACTGCTGTCCCCGCAGGGGCGAGGCAGGCGGGAGCCTGGGGTCTCTGCAGCCTGGGCAGGAACACGCCTGCTGCCGGCTCGTAGATGGAGCCTGCGCGAGGGCAGGGGAAGGCACCGCTCACCAGGTGAGGAAGCACGTGTTCCCAAACTGCACACTGGGCTCACTGGCAAATTCAAAGAAACATCGGTTTATAGAGAGATTATGAAACACCATTTTTTTTTTTCTCCTGAGCCTTACAGAGCAATATGCGTTTTGGACAGCAGATATAAAAGATACATATTTACATTTATGGGCGCAAATCAGTCAAGCTTTAAATTTTTCACATGATGGTTGATCTACTAACTATCAGTGTAATATTCACCCTGTTCTTATTCAAAGGCACATAGAGGAAGTGGCCAATAATAAATTCCTTTGACTATCCTCCAGATAAAATACTCCCTTTTTGGTGCAAATACAGTGCAAAGTATGAAAACTTATTTTTAGGAGTGATTTCTGCTAAAATTTGACTAGTAGAACAAATACCGTGAGTTGTTTAATGAGGAAAAAAAAGATGCGGATAGAGGCTCTAAGACTATTAAAGTGAAGGAATTCTATAATGATGGGAATGGGTAATTCTCCAAGAAGAAAAATTCAAATTACCAGGAGTGAGCAGACAGTGATAGCAACTTTAGTTCCTTCTGTTATTAGAACTAATAGTTAAAATTGAGAAAGAAATATGTGTAGAAGGCAACAGAACTTGTTTTAAAGTAAAAAAAATCGCTTTATACTTCCATAAAATACGGGACCGCATAGCAATGCCCTTATTCCTATCCTAGGACCCTGAAAGGGTTCTTTAGCATCAGGAGAACAGAACCCAGGAGTTCGTCAGAACCCCCCAAAACAACATAAACCTAAATTTACTTATTAGCAAGAACACAAAACATCATAGCTGCAAAGCTGACTAAACAGTTGAACGCTAGTTAACAACGGCGTTACAGAACTTATGGTATTCCTTCCTACCTGACTCTTGGGCAAATTTCCTGGGATACAACAATTGTTCTTCCCAACAAAAAAAGAAAACAATAAATATTTCTAGCGGTCAAAGCTCCTATAATTAACTAAATTCAGATAGGAGAAATATATTTAAAGTAGGAAGCAGTAAACCCCTGCGCCCCCAACCGAAATTGGCTAATAGCGTTATGTACGTGTACATAGCCATCATCCGAGGAGGTTAAGCCTAGCCAGAGATCTAGAGGAGGCCATGCAGCCAGTTGAAGCGTTTGGTACCCCTCTGCAGTAGGGGCAGGTGCCCCCATTTTCACTCAGATAACAAGTTTCACATCATGAATGGCACTCCCTTCTAAAAGACAGGACATGGGCAGTTTCCTGGGGTCTGCAGCTCCTGGCTTCTTTCCCATCTCTAGCACAGGCTTCTGGTGTGCCCCGGAAAGTCCTGCCAGCTGGGGGCCCGTGAGAACATCACAGATTGAGCTTTTCCACCTCAAATAAGCACTCTCAGGATAAACTAAGGAAAGAAAGAAATTCTCTAACTGCAGTGATAAAAAGGTTCTTCTAAGTTTAACAGCATCGATACTGCTCTTCTTCGGCACTTTAGTGTGTCTGATTTGATGCCGCATGTTATTTTTGTTATGAAACTAGACCGAACCAAAATCAATACAGTGCTCATTAAATGGACAAAACATGGGGTAGCTCGTAGATCTCAAATAGCAAATTTAAATGGGAATCACTGCCCAGCTAAGTATTTCTAGTAGGGTTCCGGAACATGCAGAATAATACTGAATATCTATCTTTCAGGTCAGATTAGAAAAAACAACAACAGCCACACCTAGCACTGTTTATCAAATGCATCAATGACAAAGTCTGGAGAGTGGTAAATAATGAAGAGGAGGATGACTGATGCAGAGACCTGTATCAGCAAGCTGGGTGCAAACAAGATATGTGTTTTAATACAGCCAAGCACAAAGAAACACTCCAGAAGCTAATGCAGCCTATGCTTTCTGGAAGGAAGGCTATTCCTGGAAGGAGCTCTCCTGAAACGTTTTGGGGGTCCTTGTGATTAGCACCTAGCACAACCCAGTTGTGGTACTATGATGAAAAGAAATGATGCAATCCTTAACAGCTTTTGATCTTCCGTTGTCATGTTCTTTACTGACACATAAGAATTACATCCAGAACACAGAAAGAGTACAGATGAACCGAAGGAGGGCCAGTGTAGAACCAAAATGTTAATTTGGGGTTAGAAATCTGTGTGTTAAAGAACCTTCTGGAGCTCAGGTTCTTCAGTTTAGCAGAGACAGGGTTAAGGATACTTCCAGAGCAAGTAACCTGTGGCATTAGTAAATATTCAGACTTCAGACAAGGTACAAAACTTATTTCATGATAGTGAGGACAGTTAATTCTTTCTTCATTGCACCCTTTGCAAAGGCTGCTTATCTGTCTTTCCCCCTTCAGATGTGTTCCACCCTTACCCAAGCTTACAGTTTGGGGATGCATCCCACCTAACCCGGTATGACCCGCAGCTGCTGCCTGAGTGGCAGAATTTCAGCTGAGATGTTTCACGTGTGCCCTTCAGAGTTTCAGCTCAAGCAGAAGCAAGAAATCCTCATGTGGGCAGGATGCTTGTGTACACTGCCTGGCTGAAAGGCGAGGTGGCAGCTCCCAGATGGCACCTAATAGATTTATTTCTTCTGTTTGGCTCAGTGCTTAAGCTCTTATCTTTAGAAGGAGAAACTTGTTTGTTCATGTTCACTACAAAAATATTTACTAAAAATTTTCAGGAATATGTTTTACACTGAAACACATGAAGCATCTGACCACTGAAACCAACCTAGCCAGCCTCTGGACACCACCAGGTTGGGCGGCATTTTACCTCCCTATCTTGAAACAGCGCGTTGCTTTTTTTTTGCTTCAGTTGTGTTTGCTGGTTGAGGTTGCATAGGAAATGCCAGGAGTGTTTTAGGAAAAAAAAAAGAAAACACACGTATTAGCTGGAGATCAAGTATCTTCTTCCAAAGGAAAACAAAGGAGAACATGAAGTGTTTTGCAGTGTGACCCTCATAAGAATGGTTGCATTAGGCCTGCTGTCTTATTAAAATTAATTTATATTTATATAAAGTATTTTGTACAAAACCCCCATACACACCAGGCAAAAAAATCCCATGTGTTGTTATATATTGCAAACACACTGCCAAGGTAGTTCTAGCCCAGAGTTAGTGATGGTCTCTGCAGACTTCCTCATGAAGAAAAATTTTTTGAAGTTGATGTGTAATTGTGGAGTGTTTTGCTCTGTTTACTTAGGGAAGAGACAAGAGCCCCTGGGGAGGAACCTCACTCACTCTAAGCACTAGAAGTCTATCTAAACGCTATCACTGAAAAAGCAAAGGTAAAGGTTCGGTCAGATCTCAATCAATATGCAGGGGTACAACATCAGAGATATACAAGAAGAATTAACAGTCTTTTCCTGATTTTCTCAGCAAGCACTGTTCTTGTTGGTTCACGATAATAAAAAGTCATGCCCTCCTCCTTTTACCTTGACCTAAAAATAGGATACCACCTCCCTGACTACAAAACACATGAAATGCAAATAAAAAGCCGTGCTTAGTCAGAGGAAGAAACTCCAACCTCTTCTGGGCAGGGCTGACCACGCACAAGTACATGTTTTCATAGCAGAGGTTTAGAAAGACAAACAGCTGGCGGCACACCGAGAGGCTTTGGGAAGAGCCCACAGCACGTTCCTCTATTTACCTCAGGTAATCTCTGCGGCAAAGAATGAGATTTGCTTTTGTGTAAAGAGTTGATCCGACCTCTCCAAGACGACAGTCACAGCAGGCACACTTTAGACAGTCTTCATGCCAATACTTATCCAGAGCCTTCAGCAGGTACCGGTCCTTGATCTTGCGGTTGCAGCCAGCACAGCCCTTCTGCTTCCCTTTGGGTTGTACAGATAACATGGGCACACCTGCAACGCAAACAAAGCATCGCCTTTAGAAGGTATCAAGCAGCTTGAATTCCTGCGTTCGGGGTAGCACTGTGAGCTATAGGTAGATCTGTGCGCAAATACTGCCGCTGGTTTCACGACAAGGAGTTCACATTGCGAGACGCCGACAGTCAAAGGAACTGAAACTTCATTTGCTGTCACAGCGTAAGTGGGAGTGTGACACTTGCGGGAAACACAGCCTTTTTCCCTAAGGTTAGGGCTGACACAAAGCACCAGACTTTTTTTTTTAATTAACATCTTGCAGCACAATAAACTGGATGCAATGTCAACATTTGTTTTTTCCCCTCATTACCAGTACCCTTGTGTTGTTAATTATCTGCCACAGGCAATTACAGAGATCAGAAGGGCCACCACTGTATGGACTCACAGTCCTGCATCTCGGCTGGATCAAGCTGGATGGGGAAAGGGGAGGAGTGGGTATAAAAAGACATGGTACACCACTGTTTTTCCTCTTTTGTGCACCCCATTGGTCACAGAGGCCTCAGGGAAAGCAAAAATGAAAGTTATTCAAAAGCCCTCGAGGACTGCTGAGAGCCACCCAACCTGTGCCCCTCTGCCACCGTGAAGCCACGCTCCCCAGGCGCAGCAGCGCTCTCCTTCTCCTCTTGTACCGCTGGGGAAGGCAGTGAAAAACCAGGAGGTTTTCCTCCCTGGAACACCATGCTGGGACTGCAAAGCAAGCATGAGTGAGCAGCTGCGTACGAGGGGGTGACAGGACGCTCAAGTCACTAGGCTGGTGAGACCTGCCGTGGCCACCTTCCCCACACGGCTTTCCCCAGCTTTGTCCTCTCCCCCGAGCCACGGTGCCTCCCACGGTGAGCACTGACATGGGTGGGAGACTGTCGCCCCTCTCCGGTTAAGAGGGAGGCAGGGAAGGATTGTATGAAATCAACAGGCAGGGTGGAAAAATAAACACGGATTGTCCTGTGGGGGAAAAGGGGGCAGGAGATGATGAAAGAAGAAACCAGCTCCCTGAGATGCCAGAATCCCATTTTCTCCAGAGCCTTGATTTTACTTTGTTACTGATTTTTATTTTTACTGGTGTCAATCACTAAAAATGACAATGCTGGGCCTGTAACGAGCGTGCGGTGGGCTCAACCGATGCAGAGATGATGAGAGGGGCACTCCGGCGGCAGGAGCAGGTGTCACTGGCTGTAAACTCTTACACTAAGTTAAGCCACCGTTTCTGTAGGAAGCGCCGGATGTCCCAGAATGTAGCAGCTTGATAATGGAATTATTAACAGTCCCTTAACCAGAGAGGACCGAGTCGGTGCCGCTGTAATAAGTGACATTTGCTGCTTTCCTTAAAAGCCAGGGTGACCCGATGGTGGCTGATGCTCAGCAGATGTAAACCCCACCACCCCTCCAGTAATAATTGCTTTGTCAGAGCTGCAAGCAGACGACAATAGCACTTAAGACACCTCTACACAAACAGCGAGGTATCGATCCATTTGTTATCACCGTGGTCTCAGCAGCGCGGAGACAGGTCAAGTAACATTCGAAAACTCTTGAGGCTTAAAGAGCCCTCCTGCTCTTTGCTGCGGCACACTGGAAATCCGCTTGCAAAGTTGCTACAAACAAACTTTTGATGCCGGTGACAAAGATGTAATAAGTGAAAACTTAAATCTGTGTTTGCCTGCCACCTACACACCGTGTAATGCTCCTGAGAGAAGTTCTGCATACACAGCCACAGAGAAGCACGTTTGGAAGATGGAGAAGACAGGGAACTGTCAGCAGTGTAATATACTGCGGGTGCTGCCGGTCAAACCGCAGAAGTCCTTGGCTCCAGGTGAGAGCTGCTTATGAGAGCGAGGGAAGTGGTCCCCTGGTTCTGGACATAGCAATTTTTCTTTTTTTTTCTTCTTTTTTTTTTTTTTTTTTTTTTTTTTTTTTTTTTTTTTTTTTTTTCTAGTACATTTCAGGAGCAAAGAGAAGCTTCACTTCTCAACTAATTTCTTTTCAGAAAACTTAAAGCCTTCATCCCATGCTCTCTCCAACTCCACACAAGAAAAAGAGCAAACCTGAGAAGAGATTGCCTTATTCTAAGGCAGAGAAGGGTGCTTATGTGAATTCACATTTGCAAACTGTTTAAGATCGACACCAGTGATGAAAGAAAATAGTTCGCACCTATGAAAACCGAGACCTAGATGTGTGAATTATATTTTAAGATAGGAGCCCTAGGCACCAGTGAGTCATCACCCACTCCCAAACAGGCTCTCCAAATGTCAGCTGCGTACCTTTAGAGGTAGAAGAGGATTTCTTACAAGGGGAGGGCCATCATACAATTCTCCTGCAAGGTTCCTCTAGGTAAGGTAAGGATCCCGCAGCTGGAGGTGCTGCAGATTTCGGAATACAGATTCTAGATAACCAGAGCCCTTTAGACCCCCTCGTAAGAGAACTGCTGCAGGGTGGGGTTTGAGATCATCTCTGTGGTTCTGAAATACAAGATCTTCAGCCAGACAGGACTTCCCAAGGCCCTCAAGTCCTTTTGAAACCAGTGCCCTTTCGGAGTTCCAGCCCTCCTCACCCCAAGCGAGGGGACCGTGGTAACAGCAGCAGGGGCAGCTCTGCAGGGACAAAGCCCTGTCCAGACCATTCCGAGGGGCTGGTTTGATCGGTAAGGGCGGGTTGGCAGGTTAGGAGGGTCTCCTGAGGTGGCAAGCAGGCCTGGACAGCCGTGGGCTGGCTGTTGTGGCGGTGCTTGTTCCATCTGCAGCCCCGGCAGCCCTCACTCACCGCCGCCGTCTCAGCTCCCCGCTATGGCAAGCACACCATTGTCTTAGGAGAGGCTTCTGTGAATAAGGGGGTTGTAACACTTTGATTTTCTTCTAATAACTAGCAAAAGAACAGATATATATATTTTTAAACAGTACCTTAAGCAAGGAAAAAAGCTACGTATTTGGT